TACGTACACCACAACCCTTTCTCCCTCATACCTGCATCTGCATCATGTCAAAGTCAGCTAGACTTCCGCGTAAAAGGTATATGTCAGAAATCTCTCGTTTTAACTGCGTCCACAGGTCGACTCTTTGTCTGCAGAAGCAGTGACTTTGTCGTAGGACCGACGTCAAATCAACACCACATCTCAGCGTTGTGTCTCTTGGCAGCTTCCATCCAGCACAACATCTCAATTTCCGAGTTTCTGCTCATCCTCATTAATCATAGCTACACACACACACACACACAACCGCCAAGTTATGTAATTCTGACTTCGTCTTATCTAGTCGTCTACTTCTACAGCTTGTGTGATGGTACCGATTCACGACATGGCATCTTACCCTCACAACTTGGTTGTCTTGCATGAGAGAACATTCTCGACTAGAGCCTACGAGTTCGCCTATAAGGCTACCAGAATGAGTAATCAAGTTGGACCAAATTGTCATCCAGGAGCTAATCAGATCAGATCGGATATCTGCACATCGCCGTGCATAAACGAATGACTATGGAGTTGGATCACAAAAGTGAAATGGCCTGACTGTTATGAAGCGAAAAGAGCTTTATCTGCAGTAAAAAGAGATGAAAGAAAAAAAGGTAAATCACGAAGTGAGCAAAGATTAAATAGCCAATGCAACACCTTTTCAATCTGCTTTCCGGCCGGCAAATTCTCGTCAGAACTGACTCGAAGCACATTCGAGTAGGTGAAATTACCATCGCCCAAGTCGTCACTTCCAGACAGTTGGTTGAACACACTTTTCCAGGCACGAAGACCAGCTCCGCCTCCACTTCCGGACGATTTGCCAGGTCCGCAGACTTGTCCACTGCTGCGTCTTCGTATCAGAGCGCCAGAAAGTCTGGGCCAAACTTGTGCTCGCATGGAATGCGGTACACCAACTTCACCATTCAGCTCGAGACGACGGAAACTGGAAAATTCACTTTGAACATCAATGCCTGTTGCGGTTTGCGTCATTCCCACCTCGGGCTGGTTGCCCCAGACAAGACGGGTCAATCGAGGAGAGGGCTGAAGATGAGCATGAACACGCGACCAAAATGGGTCATCTTCAGGAGCCGAAGAAGTTGAGTTGGCGGATGATTTGGCTGTTGTTGAACCGGAGCCTTCGTTGAGAGGGCCATCGGCGCCGAGAGTATGCGTGTACGAGAACTCAAGGCAGTGCAACCAAACGTGACGGTTTCTCGGAGACTCTCGATATGCAGTTGGCGGCGGATCACACGTATCATCTGGCAATTGGAAAGCGAGATTCATGCAAAAAGAGAAAAGTAAACATTTGTGACCAGCAACGTCAAATGAGAGTTTGTCAAAAAGATATCTACCCACAAGTCGTAAGCGAGAGATTCACGCTGTTTCCATTCGATTGAAACTAGCATAAACCATTTTTGGGTAAGATCAACCCATGTTAATGCTCTAAACCAACACTATTCGATTATAACATGACAAATAAACGAGCCACAACTTTGTCAAGCTATGCCGTCATGTCGCCTCTCAAAAAAGATAGATGAATTAACAAGAATGTGGTGGGTAAAAACAGTGCTCAAAGAAGCCCTCACACTTTCTTCTGCTATGACAACGTTTAAAGAGAAATATACCCAATTTTTGAGGTTCATGTGGTCGAAGTTATGTTGGTTAGACATGCCGACCTATTTGACAATGATTAGTAGAACATAAAAATGCTTGTAAAGGAAGGTGGATCCAACAGTCAGAAATGGCCGAACACATGCTAGAAACTGGACATGAAATAAAATGGTCTCAAACTAGTAGGTTTCCTG